ATTGATGTCATTAATTGGTTTTGTTTGAGCAGATACTATTTAATTGAATAGAACATTACCAATTTGTAACTTTGGATGGCATATTTTTTGTTCTTGTTGCAGATGATGTTTCTTTGCTAGGTTCATCCTGAGCCTATGGCCCTACGGCTTTCGCCTTTCACCTTTCATCGCTAGCCTTCTAGAGTTCTAGGGTGCTAGTAGTCAACAAATTGTTGCTTTTATTTGTTTATTTTTTTGCAGCCTAGCAGGTTAAAGGGTGAAAGACAAAAAGGAGCTCGCCACTCGCCATGCGGCAGCCACCAGCTTGAGCCTTGAGACTTGTAAAGTTGTAATCTTGAATTTTATTGTAACAATTTATGTATTTAAGAGTTCAGACTTTTAGTTAAATTTGTCAATCACTCAATCCGTAACTTGTAATCTTGTATTTTATATTTTTATTGCAAGTATTTAAGAATTTTGGTAAAATTATGTATGCATTATTGCATTTTTCCTTCTTAACAGCAAAAAAAAACAATTATCGGGTTGCCGGGTCGGGTTAACCCGGCAACCCGCGAAAGACAGAAAAACTGGTAATTGTTCGGGTCAGCGGGTCGTGTCGGGTCATCCCGTAACCCGTTCGGGTCGGGTCAGGGTTGGAAGGTTTGACCCGTTTGTAATAACGGGTCAGGTTCGGGTTGACCCGTTTAAATTTGGGTCGGGTCGGGTTCGACCCGAACCCGACGGGTTGACCCGAATTGACAGCCCTATCGGAAATGACAATTAAAATTAATACCAAAATAAATGTGAAGGTATTTTTTGTAGTACAAGCATAAGTGAGATTATATTTCTTATATTGCTCTATTGTATCATAATAAATGTAATAAATTCACAAATCAAATGAAAGTTAACCTATTAAATAATAACAATGAATAATTAGTAAAATAAATGTTTGTAATAAGTATCAAGCTAATAAGTTATTATGACACAAATATATTGATAATTATTATCTACCTCCTAGAAAATTTAATTGACTATTATATAACCCCATGAAATTTAAAAAAACAATTGCATGTCTAATTATATTATATTTTTATAATCAACTTTTATTAGTTTAAATAAATTCTGCAATCCAATTACTGGCACAGGTAAATTGTTTTGATAAATGAGTTAAAAAATAGAAATTATAAATTTTTTTATTAAAATGCCCTCCTCAAATTATGAAGTAGCAATATAATGTAAACACTTTCCATCAATTTGGACAGATTTATTAATTGAGGGGCTGAAATGAATCAATTTTTGATAGTCGGGGGACTAAATTGGAGCTCTGAGAAATTATGGAGTCAAATTGAGCTCATACTAATGATCAGGGAATTATTTTGAGTTTTCTCCATCTTTTTGTCATCATGATATTGAACCACAAAATCATCTTCTATTTAAGTTTGACATAATTGACAAATGTAGACACCTTTGAAATTGATAAATTTTAACTTTACCGCACACTGAAAACCAGGAAAAAAAACCGTCCATCTACCTCTAACAGCAGATTTATAAGAACATCCTCAGCAAAAAGTATCAATGCTGAAAGATATTGAATGGTTAAAAAGCAACATTGCCCTGTCCCATACATTTTACAATAATCGCTAGTATAACTAAAAATATGAGAAAAGAAACAAAAAGAAGATATGAACAATATCACTCACTTGAAAAGGCACAACCGAATATTGAGAACCAGCGCTGTAATATTCTCCAAATCTTTCAGCCGCATAAGTGCCCAAATTAGGAGAGTGGTTCCATGTTTCTCCATCGTTTTGCTCGGAATCATCATACCTTCTTGCCCAAGCATCTGACTGTCCCTCTTCAGGATCATCCTCCACCTCATCAATCTCCTCTTCGTCCCCACTTTCCATAACGTCTGTTATTTCCATTCTATTTGCTTCGCCAAAAACAGATTCATATAATCTTTTGCTAATCATAGTTTTAGAGAGAGCTGAAGTGTTTGAACTAAAAGACTCGACTGAAATGACATCATTAGCATCTTCTGCTATTTCAGGAAAAGATACAGGGACAAGAATAGAAGGCAATGCAGGACTGTTGTCATCCATCAGCCAACCCTTGTAATAAGCTGCAAATTGAGACGTACTGACATCCAAAAGATCATTATATACTTTATCCAAAAACTCCAGATTCATCGTCACTTCTGATGTTCCTTGAATAGACTTTTTCACCTTATCATACCATGCCTTCAAATGAGACAGAGGAGGTAAGAAAAGGTGCTTCCAAAGTCCTGGTAGCAATTTTGTTCGAGCTTGGTGTGGAATATCACAGAAAACTAGCAGTAGATGCTTAGCTGAAACCTTATCTTTGTTCTGAATCTTGTAAAGAATGCTCAGATAAAAATGGGCCCAACCAGCTAAATGTGAGTTAGGAATCCCACAAGTGCATCCCCCATCCGATTCTATTGACTTCAGGCCAGTAATAACACTCAACTTAAGTGAAGTTTTCTTCAGCGCCAGCTGATTAGGACCCTTAATGATCATTGTTTCAACAGTCTTAATTGCTTCTTTAAGAGAAGAAAGAACATCATTATCTTTAGCATGTCTGTTCTCCACCTTGCTGGAGTTCAGTGAAGTAAAACAAACTTGATGTATGGATGATCTAAAACTTTCATCTTTAAGTAGTCTATCGACACAACTACTTAAAATTGAAGTGATTTCTTTCAATACAGCATCATCCAAGGCAGGCTCAGGACTTCCATCCTTAGGCCTCACTTGCAAATTTGGGATTTGACTACTTACTGGCTGCTCGTGCTCAAACAAGTAGTTCTTGTGAGACCTATCATATCCCCATTTCCCCTTTATCTCCTCTGCACTACCATCTTTGCAGCCCATAAGCCTTTTTGATTTGAAGTTCTCCAACTGATTTCTAATAGAGACTCCTTTGTTCGGAGAAGAAAAAGCTGTGGGAAACTTGCAAGATCATTTCCAAAATTTGATTTGCATTTGAAAATTACTATTAGCACAATAGCAAAATTTTGGCACGCCCATAGCATGATAAATGAGGTTGCTTTCTTTTCCTTTTGATTCTAAATTTATATGCATATAAGTAATAGTATTATTGTATTGCATAAATTATCATAAATTATCTATGTAAATCATCGTGGACATAGGTGAGAATTGAATGGAGTGAAGTCATCCATTTGAAGAGATATATTGCCCTCCTCAAATAGGTCACTTCACTAATAGTGCTGAGTCCTTGCTTCATTATCTAATTCATCATGGATCAGTTTCTAGAGATACTTTTTTATGCTATTATCGAAGAAGTATTGGGAGGAGCAAGCACTTATTGTCGAGTTTAAGAACTTGCTAACATCTTCAAGTCATCCTCCTACACGGTAATCATGTTTTCCTCACAAGGGAATATATATATATATATATATATATATATATATTATTAGGAACATGTAGTTTTATTTTTTATGCTAGTTTTCTTGATATGTTACCTCTTTTTGCAGTGATGATGAATTAATGAAAGAGTCTTTTTTTTATATATAAGAACTTACTAATCATTTTATCTTCTTGAAATGACCATAGTTATTAATTTCACCTGTGGCGATTTGACTTTGAAAAAGTTACTTAACTTTCCGGAATGTGTGTCAATCTTAAGACCTTCGTGTAATCAAGTGTGAATTGTTTAAACAATGCCTTGAATGACCAAAATGAAGACAAATTGGATTTAACACCGTGATATTTTGGCTTCTATATTTTTCTCTATAAATAGACCCTTAGTCCTTCATTTACTATCTTAAACTCTCCATCTTCAATATCTATTCAACAACTTCTCTTTTCTCACGGCCAAATTTCTAATAATGGTGAAGCATCCCTTGAGTTGCTTGGTAAACTTAGACAAAATAGATTGGTAGTTTTCATTAGTTGTGACAAAGACAAATTCAGATCGTTGCATAGAGAGTTTGAGTTCAACAATGACTTAACAATTTGAGTTCTCGATGTCGATGAGTTCTATAACTCACTGAAACACAATGAAATTATGCTTTTATCGAGACCAATTTCAATTTAGATTATGACTTTATTTCTTCTCAGAGGTGGCCAAGTATTTTTGCTTGATACCGACCTAGGTAATGTCAAAATTTTTTTATTAGTATGATTCCTTTTATTAGTAAGAACCTTTGGAAGAATTGCAATTTAAGTTTCATATCTTATCTTTTATTTAGTCTTTCTTGTGTTATCTGAGCAAATGTGATTATATCTAATATAAAAGAATGAAATGAATGTCAAGTTAATACTTGGTAATTTTTCAAGTCTACTATCCAAGAATTTGCAGAGTAAATAATACTGATAACTTTGGTGAGTAAATAATTTCATTGACAAGTCTAACTCGGTCTGCTCCCTAAATGTATTAAACAGGTCTCCATCTTGGATGGGCCTCACCACACACTAGAGCTTTCATCTTCAAGGGTATAGTCATCATTCATCTCTAGACTTGACACTAGAAAGGACACACTTGCTCTTAGTATAAATCTTATTGCAAATGAGGAATCTGAATTTCAGGGCTCAAATTTTCATCTTATAAATAGCAACTAACTTATGCGCTTTTGTGAGAAATTGAAAATATTTGAATTGTGAATTGATAATTTGTCGAGTAAATAAATAGTTTACTTCATATGAATTTATCTGCATGTTTCATCTAGGCTTGTCTTTTTTTTTTTTTTTTTCATCTAGGCTTGTCGAGTTCTAGCAAGTAGCTTAAAGACATTGGGCAAATTCACTTGGCAAGTTAGGGCAGATAACCTTAGCAACTTGTGCGACTTTGCTGGGCCTTTGAGCCAAGTATGCTCGGTAAAACAGCTTTGAAAGACTTGAACTCAGCCTATTGAGATGGGTCAATTTGACTTGAACTTGACAGGCCAACTTGCCTTGAACTTGACCTAAGCGATATTTGGGTGTGAACCCGTTCATATGGGATGGAAAGCAGTAATAAAAAGATGATGCAAAGAGAAAAAATCATCTTCCTCCACTATTTAATGTAGAGCTTGCATATTAGTATATGGAGCGGTTTAAAGATACAAAAAATCAAGTTCGACACTCTTATTTAAGGACATCGGCTCTATTGCTCGGGAGCCAACTTTTTTCCTTCAATTTTTGCGATATGTATATCTAGGGCATACTCGTCTTTATCGTAACTTTTTCCAAAAAAAAAAAATCCTACCTTTCGGCTCAAGTACGTCTGGCGGCTGTTCCTCGTACCTTCTCCCTCTCGCATTATTCGGTTTAGGATCTGTAAATCTACCTCTTTCCGGAATTAGCGAAACCGATCTCCGGGGATTGACATCCGAATTGGTCCTTGCCAGAGGAAGTATGGGGCCAGAGAAGCCAAATCTCGGGTTGGGGGAGCTTGAACCACTCGATCCGGAGCTGCCTCTTCTTGGCCATTGTTTCTTCTTATGCCTCCTTCCATTGAACCCATCTTCAGCGAGAAGCTCCTCCAGGGTTGCCATTTCTAGGGGCTTCAAGATTGTGAGAACAAACAAAGAAATACATTCAGGATTTTAGTTCTTAGCATCGGGGTTTTGGACAAAAGAAAGAGCACGAATGAGAGGAGAGCCAAGAGTCCGGCCGTCCGGATTACTCCCACTGATTTCAGGCGTTGGCGTTGGCCTGCCAGTGCCATATGGCTGCAGGCATGGTGCCGGGCGAAATTTTTTAAATTAAACACAATTAAAAATATATTAAGCGTTTCAGTACGATTTTTTTAGAGAACTTAAAAATAGTTAAAGTCGCTCTTTAAACAGGTATTTACTTGACGTTAATGGAAGAAAATTAAATTTAACATCTAGCGACTTATACTATTATTATTTTTTTTTAATGAAAGAAATTGCTATTTTTATTAAGAATTAATAAAACTGTCATTTTATTAATGATCAGATATTGTATAAGTAGAGAGAGGGAGTGAGTTTGTAAATATTTGTTACATTACAGTTAATGTGGTGAATGTTTATTGCGTCCAATTGTAAAGAGTCATAGTAGATAATTAGTGATTGTTATTATGTTATTATGGAGCAATAGTGTATTGTTACTTATTTTTTTAGTATTTTGGATAGTTAGTGTCATACATGCTAGAATTTGTGCATAATTATAATTGATGTCATTGGGTGCTGAAGTTTTCGTGACATGTATGATTTAAAAAATATTACTTGAACTATGAAGTTGTGGTGTTCCATCAGTAAGTCTTGTCAGCATCATATTTATGATTTTTATCATTATATTCATTACTTTTTGGTCAATTATTCTTTTTTTTTTAATTTAAGCTCTTTTACTCAACAATGTTTTATTTGAGTATAAATATATAGTGCAAGGCTCTCCCTTGGCTTAAGTTGGTTTGAAAAAATTCTACAACTTCTTATATAGTATTTCACAATGTATTCACTGATTATGGATTTGATTCGGGCAACTCCTACGAAGCAGATGATTCAAGATGGTAGCAGTCGTTTGAAAGAAAGTTTTGCGCTATGTACTGATGACATCCTTGAAGAAAAGGCCAAAACTAATAAATTTTTTTTGGTGTTGTATGCATTTTTGGAGCGTCATCTTTATAATTTGTGCATAGTTATAATTGATGTCATTGGGTGCTGAAGTTTTTGTGACATGTATGATTTAAAAAATGTTACTTGAACTATGAAGTTGTGGTGTTCCATCAGTAAGTCTTGTCAGCGTCATCTTTATAATTTTTATCATTATATTCATTACTTTTTGGTCAATTATTCTTTTTTTTTTTTAATTTAAGCTCTTTTACTCAACAATGTTTTATTTGAGTATAAATATATAGTGCAAGGCTCTCCCTTGGCTTAAGTTGGTTTGAAAAAATTCTACAACTTCTTATATAGTATTTCACAATGTATTCACTGATTATGGATTTGATTCGGGCAACTCCTACGAAGCAGATGATTCAAGAGGGTAGCAGTCGTTTGAAAGAAAGTTTTGCGCCATGTACCGATGACATCCTTGAAGCAAAGGCCAAAACTAATAATTTTTTTTTGGTGTTGTATGCATTTTTGGAGCGAAGATGAAAATTGCATATTATACCATATGCATGATAAAGCTATGAAAGTTAAGTTGTACAGTGCGGGAGATGATTTTAGAGATGTGGGTTGGAGATATGTACAACATATGTTCATGGAAGATAGTAGGCATTAGGTTTTGTTGCACTTTCTGAAGAAGCCAATTTTGTGAGAACGGGCGCGATAAAGAATGTTGTGTTGAGAATATCACTGAATGCTTAATGATCGATGTAGATCACTGTATTCTTTATCAAACATGATATCATGGAGAGGATGAATTCTTTTAGAATCCTATAAGAAGTTAATGAGAGTTATTGTGGTAGAAGATAAGGAGTTTTTGAATGCATCAGATTGGAAGTATATTCAGTAGGAGTTTAAGTGTCACTTTAAATATTTTTCAACTCAGACATAACTCCAAGCTCGCCTATGTAATGCCCTAGAATCAAATTTGGAAGAGTTATCTATTTATCATTTTAAGAATATAAAATTCTTCCAAATTTGATTCTAAGGTAGTACAAAATAGTATCATAGCAATGCACCAGCTAGAAAATGGGAACTAAGTGTCATGCAAGACAAAGTGTTATGCCATGGGAGCTATCAAGCCACCACTTAAACTTGTAGGGGTCACCTATAGAATCATATCTATCTGGTGGATGATTTTGAGATAATGATACTAACCAGGACATCAGTTACTTAAGTGGGAAAGATTATGAAATCAATTAAGTAAAAGAAGCTAAACTCTTAAATATCGAAACTCCTTTTGGTGTAATGATTGAAATTTCATTCAAGAAACTCTATAGTTAAGCGTGCTCATCCTAGAGCAATTTTGGGATGAGTAACCTGCTGAAAAGTTACACCAAAAGGACAAAACTATAAGGCTTATAG